TGTTCACTTAAGTTTAGACGAAATCGGTTATGGTAAAATTGTTGCCATAGGAATGCTTGACATAGTAACGTCTAAACAAAAAAACCAAATCCCATGGTGAGGAAATGCGTGGTTGCCAAGTTACAGATGATTTAATTTAGCTGTAATCAATTACAGAGAAACAGTTGCCATAGAGACACTTGTCATGGTAAGGACTAAACAAAAACCCAAATCCCGTGGTAAGAAAATGCATCGTTGGCAAGTTACAGGTCAATTAATTTTCACTTTAGTTTAGCTGAAATCAGCTATGGAGGAACCATTGTCATGGGAACGGTTGTCGTGATGTCGAATAAACAAAAACCTAAATCGGTTGGTGAGGAAATGCGTAGTTGCCTCATATATTTAGATTAACTCTTAACACAATATCCTAATCTAAACTAAAGTGAAAATGAAACCATGTATAACTTGGAAACTAGGCATTTTCTCACTACGGGATTTGTTTGGTCGTTAGCATGACAAGCGTTTCCATGGCAACAGTTTCTCCATAAGATCACGCTACGCTCCTCCCACCCACAACCAAACTACTACAGAGGAAAGCGAGCGCGCCCGGCCGTCGTTTCGAAATTCGCGCGCGCGAATTTCGAAACGTCGGCAGGGCGCGCCCTTTTTCCACCTACGCTCGTTCCACGCTCCTATTAACCACTACTTGGCAACTACACATTTCCTCACCACGAGATTTGGGTTTTTGTTTAGTCATTAGCATAACAAGCGTTTCCATGGAAACAGTTTATTCATAACTGATTTCGGCTAAACTAAAGTGAATATTAAATAATTTATAACTTAGCAACTACGCATTTCCACACTTACGGATTTGGATTTTTTTTTAGTCGTTAGCATGACCAAGTATTTCCATGAAAACAGTTTTTTCGTAACTGATTTCTGCTAAACTGAAGTGAACATTAAACGATCTATAACTTGGCAACTACGCATTTCCTCACCACGAGATTTGAGTCTTTGTTTAGTCGGTAACATGACAAGCGTGCCCATGGCAACATTTTTTGCATAAATGATTTCAGCTAAATGAAATTAAACATAAACCGTAATCATCTACAACTTGGCAACTACACATTTCCTCACCATGAGATTAGGGTTTTTGTTTACTCATAGCCATTACAATTGTTATTATGACAACATTTTTTGCATAACAGATTTCGCCTAAACGAAAGATGAGCCAGGATTTTTTCTAAAGAAGATATATCGACTTTCATCAATGAAGCCCCTGATGATATTTATCTATTAATGAAAGATGCCCCTATTTTTGGGCTTGCTGGCACTTGCAGAAGAGGGAACTTTCGAAAATATCCACAGCTGACATAGAAGATAAAGGCAATTTAATTGTGGTAAGAATCCGAGACTCAAAAAATTATACTTCACGCACTTTTGTCATATCAGAAGAAATTAACAATAGAAAGTATCTGCTGCTTTATAGAACATATGCAGCGTTAAGGCAACCAACGCCACAATAACAATTTTTTGTAAATTACAAGAAAGGAAAATGTACCAAGCAATGTGTCGGGGAAAAACAGTTTCGAGAAGATGACCTCAGAAATTTCAGCATTTTTAAGACTACCCAACCCAGAACTATACACCAGTCACAGTTTTCGCCGCTCCTCAGCAACTTTGCTGGCCAACTCGAGTGAAGGACTGACTGACATAAAGCGTTTAGGATGCTGAAAGTCAACAACGGTGGCTGAGGGATATATTGACGACTCAACTACATATAAAAAATGGTTAGGCAACAAAATTTTAAGCTTGCTAGTCCAAGAACACCAGTTCCAATACCATGTTCGTCAAGTACTGTTGAGAAACCCGTGATTGAACCAGTTGCAGCCCCAGTTCGTTCGTACTCATTCGAAAGCAAAGATGGTCCTTAGGATTTTCCAATACATTCCAAGTAATATTAATAAGTAGTATTGTGCATTTTCTGGTCTGTTTAAAAATAAAAAGTTTGGTTTTCTAAATTTTTGTAGTTTTTTTTTGACTCTCGTAGAAAAAAAATGTTGTTTCTAACACGTTAAAGCTTATCCGAACTCCGCTCCGCGTCGTTCGTCTAACTGATTTTGCGTGCGGGAATGTATCACTTCTTGCACTTGTTAGGAAACTAACTATTAATCTGCTCATGGCCATATTCCACACCACAATATGTCATACACGAACTCAGCGAAACTTGGTCGGCTAAATATCACACCTCTGCAATTTTTTGTATTATGATTCCCCTCCTCTCCATCACTCTAACCAACAATTTAAATAGGTAAAGTACCAAGTATGACCCATAATTGAAAATGTAATTTGATAGGAATTCAGCAATATAACTGTTTATTGCGTTACTTTTAATTTTAGCGCCCTCTACTAAATAAAACTCGTTACGTATTGCAAAGTGTGATAAAACTAAATTTATTAACGTTAGATTTCTACAAGGTTTTTATATTAAGGTCACGTTTCATGCAATTATGTTTTGTTATGTTGTATGTTGTACATTAAATTATTAATAAAATCAGCTTTCAAATGAAGTGTCACACTTTACAATAATAGTTTTTTACGTTAAAACAAGAAGTAAGCAATGATTAGTCATATTGCTGAATTCCCAATAAAATTACATTTTTGATGATATGTTATGCTTGATAATCTTCCTATTTAAATTGTATTGGTCAAAGTAACGTAGGGAGGGGAATGACGTGTGACAGTTGAGGATATAATATGATGGAAAGGTGCCCGCCTTGGAATACAAATTGGGCTTGTCTTTGTATTTAAAAAATAACTTGTCAGTTCTACCAAATACGTCAATGGCATTGTTTTGAGGTTACTGCTGAAGTTATTATTTCTTTTAGTCAACTGGTAAATTTGAAGTCGACAGATAGGGGAGAGGGGGACATTGGGACATTGGGACATGGAGCACATATGAACATTTCAAATTTTAGCGCCATTAAGCGTAAAGTTTAATTGTACTACTTGACCGTTAGATGGCACCACGTGTACCCATTTCATTGTAGAAAAGTTTTGACTGCCTCAAGCAACTATTTGGTGCGTAAACGTGTCCGGCGTTGTAAATAAATCAAAAATCGTTTGAGATCGAATATTTTCCAAGTAGATGCTAGAATTAACTCAGTTAAAATTCTAGAGGTAAGTGGACTTGTTTATCTTTACTGTCGGTATATATATTATTTACATAACCTTATTTTGTTCATAAGCATGATTGGGGTAGATAGGGACATGTAGTCGGAGGCACATATGGACACTGTCCCAATCTATCACAGAGAAAACCAAGACTGCGAAATTAATTATAATTCATGTGTACCTTTTGTAGTCCCCTTTTTGATATCAATAAACCTCTGAAACACCTTTAAAAAAAAATAACTTGGGGTAAATCGCATTTCAATTCCGTTTCTGTGTACTGCTGTCCCAATCTGCCCCAGAGAAAATGTGAGAAATGACTGAACATATTTTTCAGGCTTTAAAATGGTAAGGACTTGCAAGAGGAAGACCAATCGTTCTGCTATATAGGAGGAGAATATAATTGCGGCTGTTCAAGATGTTTTGCAAGGAAGGCTTTCAATAAGAACTGCAGCCATAACCTACAATTTGAAAAGGTCGACTGTGGGTAACAAAGTGAAGAAAAAAAAGACAATGTCTGGAAGATGCAGATGTTGACATATCATGTTCATCACCATTCCAGTCAATGTATTCGTCTCAACAAGTTTTCACATCTGCCCAAGAAGAACTAGCCAAATATTTTATCTAAAGTTCGAAAATGGATTATGGTCTCACATATACACAAGCTCAAAAAGTGGCATTTTATTATGCCAAAAAAACTAAATGTAAAGCATCCGCCGAGCTGGAATAACTTGTTATCCGCTGGAAAGGATTGGATGAAATTATTCATGAAGAGGTATCCAATTTTGTCATTAAGGAAGCCGGAAAATACTAGTATGGCAAGAGTCTCCGGATTTAATAAAACAAATGTGAAATAATTTTTTTAATAATTTACAGAAAGTTTTAGAAAATATATATCCAGAACGAACCTACAATTTGGATTAAACAGGCGTTGCCACTGTTTTAGACGCACCGAAAGTTATTACTAAAACTGGTACAAAACAAGTGGGTCAGGCAGTATCCGCAGAACGAGGAGAGCTGGTTACATTTTGCGCTATAATAAATGGAGTCGGAAATACAATTCCTCCTATGTGTTCCCAAGAGCAAAATTTAAGGATGTTTTTATGAAAGATGCGCCCACAGGAAGTCTTGGGGTAGCCAACAAGTCAGGGTCAGGATAGATGGCATCCATATTATTTTTGGATGTAATTAAACACATACAAAAGCATACAAAATGTACGAAAGATGAACTCATACTGATTATATTGAACAAACATGAGTCCCACACCAGCCTCGAAACAATTTTATTTTGTAGAAAGAATGAAATTATTTTCGTTACCTTTCCCCCCATTGCACATACCGCCTCCAGCATCTTGACCCATTTAAAACCTATTTGAAGCAAGCTTTTAATGATTGGTTGGTAAATCATCCTGGCAAAAGGATATCCATCAATGAAATTGCCGAACTGACAGGAAAAGCATATCAGAAAGCTTTAACACTGGCCAATATATGTTCTGTGTTTAGAAAAAGCGGTATTGTGTCTTTTGATAAAGGTATTTTTAAGGAAGATGACTTCGCTGCTGCATCTTTAACAGATTCAAGGGCTCCAGAAGAAACAGACGCACCATCAACATCTGCGCTGGTCACTAGCACTTCATCAAATGCACCACCAACATCTGCGCTGGTCATTAGCATTCCATCAACTTCATTACAGCCTGAAGTCATTTCGCCAGACATAATACGACCCTACGCCAAAGCAGAGAAAAGGAAGACGAATTCTAACAGATACGCAAGAAAAAGATAGACTAGAAGAAGAAAAGATTGCCAAGCAAAAGAAGAAGCAAGTGAAACGGAAGTTTGATAATGTAAAGCAACAAGCAAATGATTCAGATGATACCGGGCATGAAGTAATCTACGCTGATCATAAATCTGACGGTTTAAATGAAATGGACCCTGAAAATTCCGACCAAGAATTCATGCAAGACGTAGAACCTACCATAGATCCTAAATCTGGGACGCCAAATATCGAAATCGGTGACTTTTTGCTGGTAAAGTATTGCATGAAGAAGACCCAAAAGTATTATGTTGGAGAAGTGGAAGAAATAGTCAAGGGAAAATATTTAACAAGTTTTCTAAGAAAAAAAGAAAATGGATTTACCTTTCCCCAAGTCACTGATAAGGACCTAATAGAATTGGAACAAGTGGAACTAAAACTACCTAAGCCAAGAACGTCTGAAACAACTGCAAGATCAAGTTCAATAAAGCAGTTTCAAGTAGACTTCGGTGCCTATAACGTCAACTAAACTAAATAAAAATGTTGTGTTTAACAATGCCTTTTTTACATTTTTTACTGTTTATGCGACTTGTGTTAGATTGTTCCAGCTTTATTCACCAAATAAATATGACTAAAACTTTTAGAACATAACAAAATGTTGTTGTCCATACCTGCCCCTACACTGTCCAAATCTACCCCGTCAAGGATTTGGATACTTTGGAAAATTGCAAAAAATCTAATTCATTGATCAGAGAATAATCGCTAAACCAATGGTGATAGATAGTACATTTATCAGTGGCAACAACATAACATGTGATCAATATATTGAAAGCCAAGATATACACAGCTAATTATATTTGTATGCGCTGTATACAATTTTTGGGTAGAGCGTACGATTTGTACGGTAAATTTACTGTTTTCGCGCGTGTTGGAACAAACCTATTGTTGAAGACTCGTTAAATCAATTTCATTTTTAAGCACATAAAAATTTAATATTTTACCACGATTTTAAATTTACAACTTTTTTATGGATTTAAAAAGAAAATTCTATCGAAAAAAATTACTCTTAATAACATTATTTATCTTTAAATTTAACAAAGCTAATGACATCAGTTTAATATATTTTTACTGTTACTAAAAATAATTGATAAAAATAAACATACATGTAATATTGTTGTCCATTCATGAAATAATGGAATTTTTAAAGACCTCTCAAAGTCTTGGGCTTTACAGCTAACCTGCGCTAAAACTTTAGGTTTTTAAATATTAAAATATTTTCACTGCAATTCACTAATCGAATAAAAATCCTAAAGAAAGTTGTCTACTTCATTTTAATCACAGATAAATAACTTTCTTTAAGTTATTAAGTATAAGAAGCTCACTTTAAAATAATAATACTGTTCTTGTTATATATAAGTTACAGTATAATCAATACACTATAACAAAAAGATCACAATAACATCGTTTAAAGTTTATTGGGAATTGGACATAAAATAATATTTGAAATAAAAATTAATACGTTAGCCTTGGACAGTAAATAAATGTTTGTTATTATAATAATGTTTACAATGCAGTTAAATATTATGACTTGTTTTTGACGAAATTTAAACACACATAATCGTTCTAATCCTTCATAGTTAAGAAAACGTTCTGAAAGTGGGGCTTATCAAAATCACTGGGCCATGCAAAGCCATTAGGCATTTATTTAAAGTTAGACGACAAATATCATGACTATACGAGGGTGGATCAATAAGTACCCGTGTTTGAAGGCAGGGTGCGTTGCTGAGGGAAGTTGGTATTACTGTCGTGTACTGTCATCTGTCACACGACACCATACTAAATTTCAAACCGATTCATAGTTTGGTTTTATTTGGCAGCCACTTGTACCATACGTGTTTCGCATTAATCGATAAAATAGAAAAAGAACAATATCTATCCATAATTCGCTTATTTTTGGATGGAAAAACATGCGATGAAATAAAAGCAAAGTTGGATGCTGTCTATGGGGACCCTTCACCATCTATGACAACCGTAAGATATTGGTTCAACGAATTTAAACGTGGTCGTACATCTGTTTTTGATGAGGAGCGACCAGGTCGCCCGACAGACGTTGTTACCGAGGAAATCGTTAAAAAGGTCCAAGACATGATTGTCGCAGATCGCCGAACGAAAGTGCGAGAAGTAGCAGAGGCCGTAGGCGTACCATACGGAACGGCAATTAATATTTTGCATGATAAGTTAAACATGAGAAAGGTATCGGCCCGATGGGTGCCGCGATTGCTTACGGTGGACAACAAGCGTATACGGCTGTCAATGTCGAAGCAGTGTTTGGAGCTCTTTAATCGAAATTATTAGGTGTTTTTGCGTCGAATCGTCACCGTTGATGAAACCTGGATACATTATTATACGCCAGAGACCAAACGACAGTCGAAGCAATGGATTTTTCGGGGTGAACCTGCTCCGAAGAAAGCAAAGACGGTCCCATCGGCCGGAAAGATCATGGCCACGATTTTTTGGGATTCCAAGGGAATAATCCTCATCGGCTTTTTGCAGAAAGGAAGTATGATAACAGGGCAGTACTATAGTGAATTATTGGACCGATTCGATGCAAAATTGAAGGAGACACGGCCTCATTTGGCTAAGAAAAAAGTCCTGTTTCACCACGATAACGCACCAACACATTCATCGAGAATTGTCGCGGTCAAATTGCAAGAACTGCAGTACGAATTGCTGCCCCACCCACCGTACTCGTCCGACTTGGCTCCATGCGACTTTTTTCTATTCCCCCCAACATGAAAACGTGGTTAGGGGGAAAAAGTTCAGCTCTAACGAGTTATCGTCGAGACTGAAGCGTATTTTGCGGAGTTCGAGAAATCATATTTTTTGGAGGGGTTAAATAAATGGCAGAAACGATGGGAAAAGAGTATAGCACTAAAAGAAGATTACGTTGAAAAATAGAAATCATTTTTTTTTTGAAAAACTTGCCTCTTCCTTTCAAACACGGGTACTTTTTGATCCACCCTCGTAAGAGAATCTTTTAGAGATCAAAATACAGAAAACAAACTTCAGAACAGAAACGTCCATTACTGAAAGGAAATACTAAAAAACCGATCACAATGTAATACAAAATCTCCCTAAAATACATTCGATATTAATTTATTATAAGAAAAATACACTACAAATTATATTTCGTCGCCTAAATGTGTTAACCTGCTAACTCCATATTTTACGACTTTGAGATTTTTCGATATCTGTCTAGATGGCGCCTTGCATCGACCTATAAACCAGCTAAGGTCGGGACTATACATAGCGTTTTACCGGGAGCGATTTAGCGGGACCCGTTTGGCGGGAGAGGTACAACACATTGTTTTAAATGGTGCATTTTATACACCTGCTGTTCTGCTGTATTTAAAACAATGTGTTGTACCTGTCCCGCCAAACGGGTCCCACTAAAAGGCTCCCGATAAAACGCTATGTATAGTCCCGGACTAACTCGCTATTCTGTGTAGAAATGATCTATTTTGTGACGCCCGAATACCAGTCATCTTTATGTTGTATGATGCGTAAAGAAATAGAGCTATCTTCAGCTAATTGTATGCAACAAGTGCACGTGTCATTTTGACTTTCCAAGTTTTCAATTTTTTTCCTATTTAGTGCCAGTATTTTTGTTTTTCTGTATTGTTTTATTATAAAAGGTAATAACATATTTAATATTTCATAATGTATTTTAATAAAATTGACGATTTTAAGATAAAATATTCCAATTAACCTAATTTTGGAGTTAGCGGCTTATCGTGTGAGTGCAAGTGAAGGTTTGGATATAGCAGGTTTTCCTTGTTTTTTTTACTATTTATGTATAAATAAAAATAAATAACGTGCTTTTATTTTGTAAAAAATCACTTGTACGAGGGCTGTCTATTGAAGTTTTGCATACCGTGCATTAGAGGGCATTACGAATCAAACGGCTCTAATAAAAATAAACGGTCACCTTTAGTTAACCTCACTTTCAAGTTTCAGTCCGATTCATAGGATGTTGTAGTTACACCGAATTTTCAAAGTTGACAAATTATTCAAGAAATGGATTTAAACCAAAAACATTTTCGTGTCATAATTTTTTACAACTTTCGAATACAATTATCTCAACAAGAATGTCTCGCCGAGTTGGTTTCTGTTTTCGGTAGTGATGCACCACATCAATCGACAATTTCTCGTTGGTACGGAGAATTTACACGAGGACGGGTTAATCTTAGTGACGAGCCAAGAACAGGTGCACCTAAATCGGTAGTCACCCAGGAAACCATTGATGCTGTGCGCAGGCTCATCGAGGAAGATCGCCATGTGACATATCGCGAGATTAAAGCATCGTTAGGGATTTCAAAGACCTCAATCCAAAATATTTTGCATGAAGGGAATGGAAGTAAAAAAATTAGTGTCCCGTTGGATACCGCATCTGTTGACCGAAGAACAAAAAGAAGCTAGGGTAAATTGGTATCAAAAAACTCTGGAGCGCTTCAACGCTGGAAACTCTAAAAACGTGTACTGCATCGCAAGTGGTGATGAATCATGGATTTACTCATATGAACTTGAAAATTAACTCCAATTGTCTGTTTGGCTTTTCCAAGGTGAAGACAAGCCGACAAAAGTGATCCGTTCTCGAAGTGTGTCTAAAAAGATGGTCACAACATTTGTCTCCAAAGCAGGTCATGTTGCAACAATTCCTCTGCAAGAGCAAAGAACTGTTACTGCCGATTGATATATAACGATTTGTTTGCCAGCAGTCATCGCTAAGCTTCGGGAAATCAACCCCAAACGACGAATCACCCTCCGTCAAGACAATGCAAGTGCGCACACAGCTCGCAAAACAATTACCTTCTTCGAGCAACAAAACGTCGAGTTAGACCACCCTCCTTACAGTCACAACGATTTTTTTACCTTTCGAAAAATCAAGAACGTACTGCGTGGGCAACGGTTCGAGTCACCAGAAGATACAATTGAGGCATTCAAAACACCCATTGGAGCTGTGACACCCCAGGAGTGGAATAACTGCTTTCAGAGCTGGTTCGAGAGCATGAAAAAGTGCATTAATCTTCGTGGAGAATACTTTGAAAAACAATAAAATGTTGAAACATCTGCTGTTTTATTCTAGGTCTATATGCAAAACTTAAAAGACAGCCTTCGTATAGGATCCACTGGAAAGTAGCCTACCTAACTAGTTTAAGAAATTCGATGCTTCATGTAAATATAGGATCATATTAATTTTATATCAATTTTCGTTTAGATATTTAAGTACAATGATAATTTAGTACAATGAGGCACACAAAAACCATTTGTTATTATTTTTTTAAATAGTCTGCTACATATTTTCTTATTTTACAGATATTATGTCAAAACGAACAAATGACATTTTAAAATTAGCAACCAGGCAAGCTGTATGTAATAACTCAAATGAAGATACTAACAATATTGTGTCCGTAAATAATTTTCATATCGTTGAAAATTTTAACATTGAAATTATTGATTACCAATCGCTATTTTCCGAAGATAAGGTTACAACACCTTTATTAAATGTAAATTATTTTGATGTTATGGAATCAAATATTGGAAACCATGGATGTATATGATACCAATAGTAAAATGGAAGAGGCAGGACATTATGAAGTAGCTGATATAGTAGCTGATATTACAGATAAAGAAGAGACGAACAATGATAGAATAGAAAAAGCAAAAGGTGAACAAGGTACCGGCAAGCATGAAATGAATAAAATCATATACAAAGAAAACACAGCAGGAACAAGCAAGTTTGAAACAAAAGAAAATACATCAGCATATGACATATCAGAAGATAGTGACTACGATACACTTAATTTAGTGCCATATTCAGAGACTAATAGTAGTTCTGATGAAATGCCAACAAAAACAAAGACGCGACGAAAAAGATTTAAAGTGGAAAAGGCAATGTGGTTTTCAGAGAAGAATAGAAATAAGCGAGAGAAAGGAAAGCGATACTTTGATAGAACTAAAGTAAACGGAAAGTGGTCTTACGACATAGAAAGAGAGCCAAGAGAGATCAAAGAAAGATGCCAGTATAGAGTTAGAAACGGAACTTTAAAATGCAGTCAAATAAGAGAACAACAAAGAAAAGACATATTCGAATATTTTGGAGTCTATGTTGGGGAAAAAAAAGGTATTCGTGGACAGTACTGTGAAGAGTGAATTTATTAAACGGGCAAGAGTTAGAAAAGTACCAGAACAATCAAGGAGAAATCAAACTTTGAAGTACCTACTATTTAAAAACAGGCGATCAGGAAATAAAAGTTCGTAGAACAAAGTACTTAAACACAGTAGGTTTGGGTCGTTGGAAAAATACGTTTTCAAATTACGAAAAAGCTGAAGATGTAGAAAAAACTGTAAAAAAAGACCAACTGTATATAGAAATGAAAAACAAAATAAAAAGAAACCATTTTAAACAGATAACAAGAGTTTCTTGATTCATTACCAACAATGGAATCTCATTACTGCATATCCTCTTCAAGCAAAAATTACCTATTGCCCGAGTGGACCTCAAAAGAAATGGTGTACTCAAAAATATTCACCCTTTAAGCACTACATTCAAAAAAGCATTTGAGTCAAAAAATATGTCATTATTCAGGCCAAAAAAGGATGAATGCGAAATTTGTAATAAATTCAAGGAAGGCTACATCACAGAGGAAGAATATAACAACCATATGACAAGAAAAAGGGAAGGTAGAAGCGAAATGGAAAAAGATAAAGAAAATGAAAAATTTGTCTATACCGTCGATCTTCAGGCTAAGGCTGGTAACCGTGACCCGTTAACCGGTTCCGTAGGACCAAAAACCGTTAAAGAACGTAACCGGTTTAACCGTAACAGGTTTAACCGGAACAGGTTTAACCGGAACAGGTTTAACCTGAACCGGTTTATAACTGGTTTAACCGTAACCGTTTTAAACGCAACCGGTGTAACTCTAATCGAACCGGTTAAACCTGTCACTTGTTGAGCCGTAACTGGTTTAACCGTAACCTAAACGGGTTTTAGCGAGACCGTGAACGTAAACGAACAAGTATAGTTTGAGCTCTTAATAGGGATGCGCATATTTCTTAAAACGTCGATACCGACATCGAATGATATACCAAAAACAAAGTATCGATGCCATTAAAGTGATCGAACTGAAAAAAAAAAACTATAATTATAAACATCGATGTTTTTAAAACTTATACATTTAAAAGTAAGTAAAACAAAATGAGACTGTATTTATTTTATAAAAAAAATACAAATATAAACATTCCAAATGTAATATAAAACAAAGTAAAACTAAAAAATTATTATTTTTTAATAAATTTAATCACAGTTATCCAAAATTGTAAAATATGCAACGATTAAGCCGGTGATGGTTACAGTTAAACCAGTAACGGATAAACCAGTAACGGGTTTAACTGGTCACGGTTACGGTAAAACCGCCGAAGCCGGTCCAACCGGTCCGGTTCGACCGGTTCGGTTAACCGGATAATTGGATTGGTTAACCGGATAATCTGACAGGTTAACCGGATAATCGAACCGGATATACGGACCTGTTATAATAGTAAAAATCCGGTTAAAACCGAAACCGGACAAAATCAGTCGAACCGGTTCGGGAATTGACAGTCTTACTTCAGGCTGTTTTACTCTCACCAAAATCTAACATTAGCAGCCTTTACTGTAAGACAAAATTGTGCGTGCATAATTTGTGTTATTTTAACATTAATAATAAGGATGGATATTGTTATCTATGGCACGAGGGAGAAGGGAGGTTTATTGCAGAAGTATTTTCATCTTGATTTCATTTTTTGATTGAAACCTACGTTATTCCATTCATTGAAGAAGAAAATAGAAACATCGTTTTTTGGAGTGATGGCTGCGCATACCAAAATCGAAATAGCGTGCTGGTTAATGTTGCTATTAATTTGACAAAATAATATCAAATAACAATTGAACATAAGTATCTTGAAGTGGGACACACCCAGATGCCAGTGGATTCAATGCATTCCACAATAGAACGTCGGGTAAAGACAAGAAAAACTAATGTTCCATTTTATGGATGATGTAGAAAAAAAAATTATTTTTTTTTTAAATACTATTTATTAAAAAAACAGTTTGCAAAATACTGAGAATCATTTTTTTTTTAAATATGTCGTTCTGTGCACACTTTTGTATTAATCAAGACAGTTTTTTCTGTATCATTCATGTGAGTTAGCAGGTTAACACATTCAGCCGACGATTTGCATTTTATTGTGATTTGGCAAATAACTTTCATATGGTTAAACATAAATATACTTATCGCTAAAAAAACACAGAACGCTTTTATTGATCGACTTTGCCAAAATTATAATAAATTATTTTCCAATTGTGATATTTTTAATATTAACGTTATTACTCTAAAAAGAACACTTAAGTTCGGTGGTGTCTAACATATTTATTTATCGTACTATTACTTGTATTTTTTGTGAAATATTGTACGTCTAGTTTATAAGTGTTTTTATACCATTTTACCTTTTTACTTTTTTTATATTTATATACTATTTGGAATTAATTTTCTGTAATGTATTCTTGAAATAAATAAATCTACTGTCTAGTCTGCACCTATCAATCAAATTAAAATAAAGTAAAGGAAAAATAATTTTCTATGATTTTACTTAAACATCAGTATTATAAACACAATTACCAACAAAATGACAAATTCCCAATAAACCGCACAAATCACATAAGCATATCAAGACGAATTTAAAGCCTCGCTTTATCATGTACTAACCTCAAAGCCACTGGATGGTACGGGGATACCGTTTTGTTTCAAAATCTGTTCCAGGAACGCTACTTTGGATTGCAACCGAGTAACATCTTCATTTTCGTTGGTAGACGCCGAAGATGATGAATCTAGACAATCGACTTCGGTATCGAACCCGCTTTCGCTGGACGTGAAAGGAACTTCGAGGTTTTCACGTTTGGTGGTGAATTTTCGTATTTTCCCTAATCTAGGACTCTTATCTACTGAAAGAAATACGTGCCAATGTAAATAACTTTTAAAACTTTTGTTTAAATAAATAAAAATATTGTTACCAAACTTCAACATGTCAATATTATGTATAGCCATTATAAATTTCACTTCTAGCCATGAAGAAACAAAGGCAACACCGCAGCGAGTAACATTATCAAATCTACACGCTATGAGGTGACGTGAAATAGTTAAACACACGTGTTCGATTTTTAGCCTATAGATTTTAAGATTTTCAACTATTTTAACGCACCAATCATTATGAAGATTAATTATTGTTTTAAAAAACCCCGCACACCGCTTATGGAAAAGTGGCGACCTGTTAAATGTCATAAATTTTTTGACATATTGCACTTCTCGACCTCTCTTAAACAATAGTGTTCATTGGACGATTCAAATTCTCTAACGGTTATTTCAGAAGAAAGCTAATCGATTATAATGTTTTATGGCAAATCTTATTGTAACAACTTTTGGCATTCTACGAATATAAAAAAAAGTCAAAAAAAGTATTATTTTACGAAACACTCGATTTTTAAACGCACGAAATATTTGTCTTCCAAAACAGTCACAGCCTATGTTTAAGTTAACACTATTAAGATACGGAGGTATCGGATTTCGAATATGGGAACTAAGGGTGAAATATTAAGCAGGCATAGAATATAGATCATTTAAAATTTGAGTTAGTTGCTTTGCGGAACAAAATTAAAGTTCGTTCCAATAATAATAAACTAGTGAATAATCATAATTTTTGTGAGTGGCTGTTTGCTGACTAGGGTGAGTTTTCTCATTGAGTAATTATGTTTCATCAATTAGTTTTGTTTTAATTTGTAATCAAGTTATTTTGCAAATTATATTACCCAATTATTATCTATCAATCTTTATTTAATTTGTCAATTCTGACGTAAAGGTACTTTGTCAAGTATTGAGAAAAGCTTATATCCTAAATTAAAGGAGTTATATTAAATAATTAAAAGTTATTTGACTATTTACTTATATTTTGCTTTCCTTTAAGAGGTGTAATCAAAAGTAAAGTGAGTCAGATTGTCTGTTCTGGCGTAGTACATTGCGGTCAGTGTATGCGTTTATTTTGGGATTACTGTGGTCAATTTTCTAGAGTCGTCGTACCATGGCTGGTGCGGACTAGTGACATTGCAGTCAGTGTGCTAGTAATGGCTTAATTTATATAACGATCGATAGTTTGGGCATTACGGTCAGTGCCAACAGAATTGAGAATGTAACTTTGTGTCAATTATGGAAAATTTAAAAATGTGTCAATTATATTTTCTTGTTAATTAAAAGGATAATAAGTATTTTGTTTATGAATATCACCTTTTCATAACTTTCTTTAATATAAAACTGCTTTTGGTAAACTTGATTGCGCATACTTGTTTTTCTTTTATTTCAGGCACGCCATCTCATACGTGCATTAATTATTTTATCTATTTTATTTTACTATTATTTTATTTAAGTTTTATTGTTTCATTTAATACTTATTTCTCTCTAATTTTATTTTGTTCTAAATTTTACCTTTCAATTTAAAGTTATTAAATCGTTTATTGAATTAATTTCTAGTATTTGCTGACATTGATTAAATAACTAAATATTTTCGCCCAAGTTTTTAATAGATATTTTTAAATTACAAATATCTTCCTATACTTTTATTGTTCTAAAAGGTGAAAATATTTACTAAAAAATAAATTATTGCTATATTTATCATGTCTCATGATAATACAAAAGATATTAGATGCCATTTATTCGTAAATATCGACATAGACCAATATATTTTTTTATAAGTATTAATGTGAAACACAGTATTTTTACAGGATTTTTGTGTATTTGCCATATGTATGTTAGTGATACCTCCCTTGTACCCCAACATTATTGACCACGTGTGACTCAATTGTCAATACTCCTGGCAAGTCAGGACGGACGAACGGAGGACGGAAGAGAGTAGCAGAGGAAAGCGGCAGTCTTAGCTCGACCGCGTAGCACGTAGCCAAGTAATAAAATATCAAATAGTGTAATACTAATAAATAAACAGTTTTAGTGGTTTAATTACTTTTATTGGGCTCAATTATCCCTTACCTTTTTTTCAAGAGAAGTACGATAGTACCGTGTCCAGTGCCGCATAGACAATACGAACTAATAACAAAAACCGTGTCAAACAGTAACCTCTGAAAATGGAGGGCGAAAATTGTGCAAATAGTGTCTTGCAACCGCTGTACAAGATTAGGACGGAGGTGTTGCATCACCAAGAGTCGACCCTAATCCTGAACTTTTAAAAGTGACAAGAAACCTTAATTAATTTAATGGCTATCCAGCAACAACAAATCGCTGAATTAACAAAACAGACAAAGATAGCAGCGTCGACATCAAACTACAATCCGGACAACAGCGCATACGCCATTCATAAATGGTTAGAAAATGCTACAAAATTAAAAGATGAATTAACCGTCAGTAATAATTTAATGATCGCAAAGGCAGACAAGGCCTTGAAAAACAGAGGTAACAGATTATGGGGTCTATTCTGTAACAATTCCTTTATATTTAACGGCCTTTAAAAATATTGGCGGCCTTTAAAAATATTGGCGGCCTTTAAAAATATGTTCGTATTCGTTAATTTACTTCTGTCATTATTTAAACAGGTTTCTTTAAGATAGTCCTCTAATGTATTTTAAAGATCCGTTTAAATAATGACAGAAGTAAAGAAGAAAATATTTTTAAAGGCCGTTAAATATAAAGGAATTGTTTGTTACAAAATAGACCCCACTGTTGCGAGTGCCGGCCAATCCGCCGAATTTATAGTCGATCGCCAGCGGATCGCTGCTAATACAGCAGAGATGAATCGCTGGTGACTTGCTGGAGATTGTCACCTCTCGCAAGTTTTCATGTTATTTTATAGAAAAAATGAGTTTTCATGTTCTTTTGTGGGAAAAAATTTGATATTCGTTCATTGTTTTTTGAGTTTTAAGAAATGAATCATGAATAACATGCGAGAGATGCCGGTGACAATCTGCAACAAGTCGCCACCTTTTCGGGCTTTCCCCAGCTGATCGCTGGTGATACACCGGCGAATCGCTGGCGATCGACTATGCATACAGGTGTAAGTGAATTTGATGCAAGGCGGATTGCAAAAGGGCCTTTAGAAGTTGAAGAAACGCCCACAAGGAAATAACATTTGGGGGCAAGACGAGACATAGGCCATGAAGGACAAAAAAAAAATATTTAAGGGATCTTGTTTCATTTGCCGTCGTCAAAGACACCGACTTAATATGTGTCGTAATAGACAAGAAAACCCGAAAGAAATTCAACAAAACATTTTAGGTTTCTTAAAAATTCCACCTTGTAACCACTGCAAGAAAATTGGCCACAACGAAAGTAACTGTTGGTATAAAAACGGCAAACCCAAGAAAACATTTTTACTTAAAAAATGACGCCATTTAAACACAACATTAATGGCGACGAATCAATTATAAAACATTATGTAGCAAAAACATTAAAAGTGACTATCAAAACAGACGGTAAGGTCCGTGCTTTCTCCAGATTCGGTACACAAATTGTTTACGCAATCGGTGTTTGTGATCTAATAACTGCTATGCCGATGTTTGACTTTAGACATTTGTTATGCGCTCGTACCAGATAATGTTATTCCAGTTAACATTGAAGGTATTGGTCGAATTAACGAATTGAAAAAAAAGATTATGGGCTCGAGTTATACCATAACCTACTCAACATTTCTATCGTACTGACTTTGTGATAAACTTGATTTAAAGGGAGAACTTGAAAATACGGCTAGAGATTCTCCTACTGTTTTATAAAAATAAAACTCCCGATCATATTACCACCGGTGAAATGACAATAAGTTAAAAGACACTACTCCATAAAAATTTTAAAATTTGCTTCATTAATTCTCGACTAATTATTATTTCAGAATAACGGAAATTAACGTAGCGCACTCATCCTTAGAATTAAAATTCGGCCCTGCATGATATCGGTTTTGGTTCAGACGTGAAGAAGTAAGACTCTTTGCCATTAGATAAGGTCACTGTTAGTTTAGCTGCTTTCCTATTTGTGATGTTTTGTTATTTTTAAATATTAATAAATCAACACGTAATGAAGCAAATTTCAAAATTTTTTGCACGGTTGAATAGAGAATAAAACCCCCTTTCAAATGAGCTATCACTCATCACCCCATGCTATTTAAATTTTTCAAAAAGGTTGCTCTCCTCCAGTAAGGGATGAAATTAAGGGTAAACTATTCATACAAAAATGTACATTGTAGAAATCAAAAATCGACGCGTCTCGGCGATTTTCCTAACAAGACTCCAGTAACAAGTTAGATAGGGGGGAGGGGGGGTAAGACTTATGATACTCACTGTATGTTTGCAGTCTGATGAATGAGTATTTTGGTATTTAAATAAAGGTATTTTTTTTTATTTATCAATAGAGTTACAAATTAACTCAACAAGGGGAAGTGTTAGATACACAAAATTGTTGACCTAATTAGTAGCATAGACAGTTAGTGAGTAGTTAGTTCTGTTATATTTTTGAAGGATGTTGATATACTTTCAAGTTTGAATTTTTGGTAAAATTGGAATGTCATATTATTTCTTGAAAATAAAGATATTAGAAGAATCGTATTTATAATTTAAAATAAGTATTAGCCATTACAACGAATGATTCATTTTTTTTTACACTCATCTGAGTTTTTTTTTTTTTCCTGAAAACTTAGGAAGTATAAGAGGGGAACGTTTCCACCAAAAGGTTTTTGAAAAACGACATCAAGGATTTTGGGATGAAAACATGTTAGGGGATTACTGTTGGTTCATTAAAAGAGAAACTGATTCAAATAAATATAAAAAGAAGGCAACAATTATTTATTTTGATTTTTTTTTTTTAGTATTAATAACAAAATAATTATGTAATCCAGTTAAGTAAATAAATATTTCTTAAACCAGACGTGACAGAATTTTTTTATTATTTTCTGGATAATTCT